TTCAGCACCACATATATAACAACATACCTGCCACACTTCAGCACCACATATATAACAACATAACTGCCACATTTCAGCACCACATATATAACAACATACCTGCAACACTCCAGCCCCACATATATAACAACATAACTGCCACACTTCATCACCGCATATATAACAACATACCTGCCACACTCCAGCCCCACATATATAACAACATACCTGCCACACTTCAGCACCACATATATAACAACATACCTGCCACACTCCAGCCCCACATATATAACAACATAACTGCCACACTTCAGCACCACATATATAACAACATACCTGCCACACACCAGCCCCACATATATAACAACATAACTGCCACACTTCAGCACCACATATATAACAACATAACTGCCACACTTCAGCACCACATATATAACAACATAACTGCCACACTTCAGCCCCACATATATAACAACATCCCTGCCACACTTCAGCACCACATATATAACAACATAACTGCCACACTCCAGCCCCACATATATAAAAACATAACTGCCACACTTCAGCCCCACATATATAACAACATAACTGCCACACTTTAGCACCACATATATAACAACATACCAGCAACACTCCAGCCCCACATATATAACAACATACCTACCACACTTCAGCACCACATATATAACAACATAACTGCTACACTTCAGCCTTACATATATAACAACATACCTGCAACACTCCAGCCGCACATATATAACAACATAACTGCCACACTTCAGCACCACATATATAACAACATACCTGCCACACTCCAGCCCCACGTATATAACAACATAACTGCCACACTCCAGCCCCACATATATAACAACATACCTGCCACACTTCAGCCCCACATATATAACATTTTCTAAGATCATTTTGTAATAATTTTTATTACAATTTTTTAAATGGCTTTTTAACGTGATTTGAGGCAAAAATAAATTTGCAGCTCAAAGCAATTATTTCATATATTGAGGAAGGTGCTACAATGTCCCCCCCCTTGACAAAATATCACTTGTTAGTGTTGATTTAAGTGGCTCAGAGAAATATTTAAGTTAATTTTTTCAGCTAAGGGGTATAGAGAAATGTTTAGAAAGACCAGTTGAGAAATAATAAACCATTCCAATTAATGATATATTACATTTTAGACCGGGGGGGGGGGGGAGAGGGAGGGCAGCAAACTTTTAAAGCCATTACCCCCATTATATATTTCAAATGTATTTGTTGACACAGATGTTGCGCATCACCCTCCCAATTTGTAAGAAAATCATAGACTATTAAAATTAAAAATGATTTATTTAATCTGGTTATATGGGGAACACAATTATAAATATAAGAAGTGGTTGGTAAATTCTACAAAATAAATTAATAAAACTCTCACTGTGGAACAAGATTATTTTCAAATGTTGACTTTAAATTTTGTGGAAATGTTTCATTGTGATAAAATGACATCAAAATTGGGTCCTTTTTAAATCAGAGAAATTTGGGTCCGTTCTTTGGGCTTAAATAATTGAATTCTATGCTTTGTTTCTATGTTCTTTAGAATATAATGAATCACTATTTGAAAGGTAACATTTTGCATCAGGCGGCATTTCTTTGACTGCATCCTAGTGAGCAATTTTAAAAGCATCTGCGTCATTTGATGTTATGAGCATTTTGGGGGGATGTGGATTGCACCTGGTGACATCCTCATAGGGGGATGATGCCCTCACAGGGGGATGATACCCTCATAGGGGGATGATACCCTCATAGGGGAATGATACCCTCATAGGGGAATGATATCAAATAAAAAATGCTGGAGTAAATTTGACTGGGCCAGATCACGTCGGTTTCATAACACATCTAAAATAAGAGCATGGTGCCACCAGAGCTTGTTGCTGTAAGAGCAGGATGATACCAGAGCAGGCCGACTTGGAGTTGGTCCATGGAGAGATCTAAATGGGGTGAGCACAATTATTATGCTAGAGGCCAAGCACCTTGTCAACTTATAACCAAAGCATGTTAGTTGCATATCTAAATTACAATGGCCAGATGCAGTGTTTCCAAAAAAAATAAATATTTTTGTAAAGCAGAAATTTGAGTTAAATATAATTTTCTTTATGCCTATTGAGCCTTCATTACCCCCAAAATGTCCAATTTAATCCCATTAGGGGTGCCCAAATTCATTGACCACTGTTTTTGCCCCTTGTAATGGTGTCAGGTGCACATTCAGGGTTATGCCCTGGCCAAAGAATATGAAAAAGGTGGGTATTATCTACCCTGCCCTCATGTTAGTTACGCCGTGGGCCTCAAGAAAATGGAGATCAATTTAAACATAGGCCACACACATGAACATTTGTTTAAAAAACAAACCAACCAGCTGAATGCGATGAATGGTACAAGCGATAAGTGAATGATATGAGAGACCTAGTCCATGGCGTGGTTTTGGTCAGCTACACCACCGGGGTCTGTAGGAGGGGAAGCACCACCGGCGTGGAGGAGCGATGAGTGTCCGTGTGACATCTCACCCTCTCCAAGATCTCCTGGCGACATATGGGACACTTCTCCAGCTGGATGGCACACACTTCACAGAAGCCCCTGATGGATGAGAGTCTTCAGTTAATGCCACAGCAACACTGCCACACGGGAATGGGGACAAATGAACAACAACAACAGCACATTACACTGCCACGATGCCACACTGAGAAGTGGACAACTCAACCAACAGTGGACAAGTTTTGGAACAAGGAGCAGTAGCAAATTACACAGCAACAATGCCACACTGAGAATTGGACAACTCAACCAACAGTGGACAAGTTTTGGAACAAGGAACGTAAACAAGTTTTGGAACAAGGAACAGTAACATATTACACAGCAACAATGCCTCACTGAGATGTGGACAACTCAAACATTGGATAACAACAATTACAACACAAAATAACAACACATTACACAGCAACAATGCGGTGAACAACTTAAACATCGGATAACAACAATTACAACACAAAACAACAACAATTATAAAACAAAATAACACATTACACATGGCACAACTATTTTGCTCTGAAACTTTCAGCTTTCTGTGATACAGAGAGAATTTCTGAATTCTCTATGTTAAATTCAGATGATAAGTTGCCAGGTTACACAAGTATAAAAAATCAGGTAGTTTAATGAGCTCTATCTCTTTAAGACAATTTTGATGTAAAAATCCTCATGGCCACAACTCTAAAAAACGAATGAATCCCTTTCTCCATGTTGATGGGAGACCAAGAGAATTCATTAACTGTCATGTTCTTTTTGATGAATAGAAATGTTGTGCCTTAAAACATCATCATCATTGCTCACACAGTGCGCCTATTTGGTGCAGCAGATTTTAACCAGAGTCTTCCACAAAAATAGTTTTTGTTTATTTACTGCGTGGGATTTTCTTGGATGCCAATGTTTTATACAGGACTGAAACTTACATGCTGCACTAGTTGATGATATTTTCATTCGTCTATCAACTATATTGATGCGATGGTATTTTGATTCGTCTATCAACTATGTTTATATAATTTATATAACGCTATGTTCATTAGCTATTCAGAATAATTAGGTAGCTTAGATTGTGTTACACAAGAGATAACAACAACAGAAAAGTGTTGGAAAGAACAATGTAAAGCCTGAAAATTATTACCTGTGTCCACAATCATTGAGTTGGGTGTCTGCTATGTTATCAAAACACAGGGTGCATGCGTCCTCGCTCACCACAAACTGATTCATTAAGGCCATTTTTTGATGCCTGTAGAAAGTAGCATTGCAATGAATGAATTATCTTTAGCATTAACATTATAAGAATAAGTTAGCAAACAACACTTTTAAGAGAAACTCTATGAAATATGGTAAGCACTTGATGAAAATTGGTTTTATCAGTGGCTGCATTCTTTCCTTGACTGCAGGAAGTCCAGTTCAAAATCATAGAAACATCATTGCCACAGTGTTTAAAATAGTAAGATTACATCCAACCACATGAAGTTTAGGTCTAAAAACAGAAAGTCAAGCTCCCAACAGGAAGACCAGATCTAAGAATATGACGTCCAGGTCACATAACAAGAAGATCAGGTCTCAAAACAGGAAGATCAGAACAGGCAGCCAAGGTCTTAGAACAGGAAATACAGGTTTCATAACAGGAAGATCAGGTCTCAAAACAGGGACTCAAAGGTCTCAGAACAGGAATTCATGGTCCAAGAACAGGAAGTCCAGTTCTAAGAGCAGGAAGTCCAGGTCTAAGAAAAGAAAGTCAAGGTCTAAGAAAAAGATGTTTAAATCTAAGAACAGGAAGTCCAGGTCTAAGAACAAGAAGTCCAGGTCTAAAAAACAGGAAGTCAAGGTCTAAGAACAGGAAGTCAAGGTCTAAGAGCAGGAAGTCAAGGTCTAAGAAAAGAAAGTCAAGGTCTAAGAACAGGAAGTCAAGGTCTAAGAACAGGAAGTCAAGGTCTAAGAACAGGAAGTCAAGGTCTAAGAACAGGAAGTCCAGGTCTAAGAACAAGAAGTCCAGGTCTAAGAAAAGAAAGTCAAGGTCTAAGAAAAAGATGTTTAAATCTAAGAACAGGAAGTCCAGGTCTAAGAACAGGAAGTCAAGGTCTAAGAACAGGAAGTCAAGGTCTAAGAAAAGAAAGTCAAGGTCTAAGAGCAGGAAGTCAAGGTCTAAGAAAAGAAAGTCAAGGTCTAAGAAAAAGATGTTTAAATCTAAGAACAGGAAGTCCAGGTCTAAGAAAAGAAAGTCAAGGTCTAAGAGCAGGAAGTCAAGGTCTAAGAACAGGAAGTCAAGGTCTAAGAACAGGAAGTCAAGGTCTAAGAACAGGAAGTCAAGGTCTAAGAACAGGAAGTCCAGGTCTAAGAGCAGGAAGTCAAGGTCTAAGAAAAGAAAGTCAAGGTCTAAGAGCAGGAAGTCAAGGTCTAAGAAAAGAAAGTCAAGGTCTAAGAAAAAGATGTTTAAATCTAAGAACAGGAAGTCCAGGTCTAAAAAACAGGAAGTCAAGGTCTAAGAACAGGAAAGTCAAGGTCTAAGAGCAGGAAGTCAAGGTCTAAGAAAAGAAAGTCAAGGTCTAAGAAAAAGATGTTTAAATCTAAGAACAGGAAGTCCAGGTCTAAAAAACAGGAAGTCAAGGTCTAAGAACAGGAAGTCAAGGTCTAAGAAAAGAAAGTCAAGGTCTAAGAGCAGGAAGTCAAGGTCTAAGAACAGGAAGTCAAGGTCTAAGAACAGGAAGTCCAGGTCTAAGAACAGGAAGTCAAGGTCTAAGAGCAGGAAGTCAAGGTCTAAGAACAGGAAGTCCAGGTCTAAGAGCAGGAATTCAAGGTCTAAGAAAAGAAAGTCAAGGTCTAAGAAAAAGATGTTTAAATCTAAGAACAGGAAGTCCAGGTCTAAGAATTGGAAGTTAGTCAGGTATTTTATAAATTTTCTTTCATTTGAAATACACAAGGGTTTCGTTTAGTTTCATCTATGTAGTTTAGAGCTGCATGACCTATTTGAAAACTACACGGTGTGGCAGAATGTCACACGGTGTGGCAGAATGTCACACGGTGTGGCAGAATGTCACCAAAAAATATGGAACAAAGTTTTGTGGATGGCTGATCTTACCTAGGCAAAACTATCCTTTCTTCGGGTAGCAGGCGGCCATATTGGTTGAATGTTTTAAAGGACACAGGTGGTGGGTAACCGAACTGCTTTTCACCAAAATTGAATTCACATTGTTGGAAAGACATAAAACTGGCGGCTGCGAAGAAACCCGACCTGAAAATAAAAAACAACAACATACAGTATACACTAACAAAGTGTTTAATTTAAAAATAAATTAATCCCTCATAAAAAGTATCATGGAAAAACGAGTTAAAATAGATAATTAGTTTTAGTTTTAAAAAACTAAAATAGACTCATTCT